AACAGAAATAAATGTTGTCTTTAAGCGTCCTCCTTCTTACCATATCTGCTGCTCTCATATGTGAAGACTGATGGAAATTCTGTATTCTTCCTTTCCAACGTAAAGGACACAATAGTTTCAAGCAACTGGCATCCTTTGAATACTGTCTGTTATTGTGCTAGTATAACATTTCAGTCACTCAAATGCTCTGCTCTTTGAGGTAGCTCTCAAAGAATCTCAACCATAAAGGACTTTGGACAGCTAATGAATGTAAAAGTCAACAGAACTAAACGTAAACACTTTATTCATCCACCCATTTATCCATCCATCCATCCATTCAGGGTGGCCATCTCACACTGTATAAGAGGAATATACCCTGGACAGATATCCAGTCTATCACATGGAGCCACTTAATTCACAGCAACTTCACGCTTGCTTTATTCATCCCTAAGGTGTTGAAAGGAATTCTGGAAATGGCAGGAATGCACCAAATGGAGTAGAACAAGACAAAATAGAAAAAAATAAAGATCATACTGTAATTGGCTTGGCTTTCAGGAATGCTAACAGCTGTATGTGTGGCATGTGTGCCTGTTTCATCTTCAATCGACAAACAGCAGGTATGGTCAGTTCATTTTAGCAACAATGGATTCTTATAACAGCCCGTGTTTCACAGTTAGAAAATATAATAATATCCACAGGTATGTTTGACATGTTGTAGATCGATCCTATATCTACCACCACCTATACATCATTCTCATTTTGGGACATATGAGATTGCTTCAGAGAATGGATCACATACTTTATATCTAGAACCTAAGCTGTCATGTCCCACTTTTTATAGTTCTCTCTATAGAGAGAGAAGCTGAAAGCGGGACAAACTGCATGCATATACTTCCTCTCGTACACTACACACACATTTTAACAGAAAGGGAAACACAGCCCCCTGTGAATTTATTCCTTGAGCATGTTCTGTTCTTCAAAGCCAATTCAAGCTCATGCATGTCTGCATCCTATGGAGGTTCGCTGTAGGAGGATTAGCATAATGAGGCAGCACTGCAGCACATTAAACAGCTGCTTCTCCAGCCCTTTCTTCACCTGCACCTCAGATCTCGTCTTTCACTCACAGTGTGGATGACCGCCACCATCATCACACTCTGCGGGTCATCCACTGGCAGCAAAAAGAGGTGTGGGGTTTTAGTCTGACATTGGGTGTGCACATCAAGCCTGTAAACCAAAGTGTAATCAGATGTAGATATAGAGAAGCAGCATGGATTAAGAGTGTCTAAATGGAGGTGCAATGAAGGACAAAATGGTAGATAGTAAATGGAGAACACGGATGGTATGTGGAGTGGTGCAGAGCTGCTAACAGGGGCTCAACGTAATCAATATTGTTTATGAGAAAGTGTGCATTTGTGTGTGTGTGTGTGTGTGTGTGTGTTTTGGTATTTGGAAGATAAGGAAAATGTGCAGTGCTTAAGTACAACACTAAATATCTGCAGGAAACTGCAGTCCCCTGAAGGTGAACAACATTGGTGGCACAAGTAAGATTGGCCTGGACCTACTTAAGATTTGCTTTCCTCTCCTATCCACCAATGTACAGATACGTTTATAAATCTGACTTCAAGGCAGACTTAAAGGCAATCTTTAATCCAAATGTAAAATAGAAAACACTCAAGAGCACATACCTTCACCAAGACTTCACATTTATTTCACCTGTAAATATATTTTGATAGGTTTTTTAAAAGTGCATCTTGGAGTGGCATCAAAACATACCGAAAATCAAATTTACATCTAAATTGTGGAGAGGTTGGGATGAATTTTGGTCATTGCAATTGTTTTTCACATTCTACACATTCACATAAAGCTGTCAAGATAATAAACTAGTTTCCAGCTATTTTTCAGTGTTCTCCTGTTCCTGTTCTCAGATTTTATGTTCATTTAAGGAATCGTTTTAGTTGTAAAAGCAGAAGCAGCTAAGACTAATCTTTTTTGTAGTCTCTCTTCCAGTAATTCCCCCCCCTTTTTTCATTTGTTTTCTGGGCTTGTTTGTTTCTTTAGCACATTTCACAGGCATCTGTTCCAACAGCCCCTCCCATTTCCAAGTTGCTATGGAAGCCATCCACACATTTTCCCCGTCGGCGGAAAACAACAGCCTGGAAAACCTTTCATGGGCTGACAATTGCTATTAACAAGTGGAGAGGAGGCACCTCCATTCCAGTGGCTGACTTATTCAAATCACTCCTTCTCTGAACAACTGGAATGATAAGAAAGCAGCCGTATCTTATTACGTGTAATCATAATTGACAGGTATCCAGAAACAGATTTAGTGCACGTGGGTTTGTGTGTGCAACAAGCACAAAATATGTGTGTCTCTTCTGGTTTGTTGCAGCAAATAATGCTCAGCCAGCTGGAAAGGAAGTGTAACTGGAGAAAATATAATCTGAAGACAGAGGTACAGTGAAGCTGTGTGAAGCTTGTGTGCCTGACTATTTGTGAACCACTTCGTGTCCACTAACAGACCAAAGAATTTAGATTTTTCTCCTCATTTTTTGTGTAAAGGAACATAATCTGTATTAATAGAGTAGTTTTCTATTTTCTAAAACAGGAGAAAACTGTTTTTGGACGTATTTTGCAGAAATTACATCTAAGATTCAATCGATTGACTGACATTTGGACATATGTGTGTCTTGAGGATACACTGTCACTGCCGTCTCCCCCTGCATTCAGTGACTGTGAGCACCCATCGTGCTATCATTGTAAGTTTGTATCCCACTCGGAAAGTGGAAGCTAGTTAGCCCAGCTTGCTAATATTAGTGATGATCCCCACTAGACGTTACTTTTTCAATACCTTTCACTGGAAGCTCTCACACACTCGATGCTGGGTTTGTCCTGCCTTATAGAAAGGAGTAGGTCTATCTTACGTTAGCTATCTCTCTTTCAGAGTCCAGTTTTGGCGCAAACATTTTTTTGGGAGAGGAGGATTAAACTATTATAAACTATTTTTTGCACAGATTGTGTCAGTCTGAAGCAATGTTGGAGGCACTATCACTGCTGAAAATGTCATAAAATAACATTTCTTTTTGGTCAAAGACAAAGATATACACTGAACAAGAAAAAAACGTTTCCCTTGAGAGGAAACCCATACAAAGTTATGTAAAAGTATAAAGCGTTTTTTTATATCAAAGCAAACACTTAAATCCTGATGGGAGTGGTTTCTTCCAGGAGAACAATGCCCCCTCCACAGGGAACAGGGTTCACTGAATGGTTTGATAAGTTTGACAGTGATGTGAATCGTACGCTATATGGCTGTCACATTCACTTCCCATCTTAACATCCTGAGCGTTAGCACCCTCCGCTACCACCATAATCAACACCAAATGAGGGAATATCTTTCGGAAGCTGTTCTGGAGGCTCATAGTGAGTTTATTTCTGTAACTTTTCCCTCTCTGTCTGTCATTTTAAAAGCTTGTTTCAACTTTACACTTACCCTCCTAGTCAGAATCAAGTCAAGTAGTAGTTCTCTGATTTCTCCTTGGTGTGATAAATTGAAAGGTTTGTTAGGATATTACCAGTGGCAGGCGGTGTTAACTGTCTTTGGCTCAGCACCTCACCTGGTGTAAATCATCTCAATCCTGTTATATTGGATTTAGTTTCACACCTCCTGTCCTGGCTGCTCGGTATCGATGTGTTAAAATTGGAAAGTGCAAAGGAAAGAAGTCCCTCAGAGCTGCAGTTCTTCTGATTTGATGCTAAAATTACACAGTTGAAAAGTAATTTTCATTTGCTGCCAATCCAGTGGTTTAGGCACCATCTGGTGCTCCTAATGAGTTCATGATGACTCATTACCTGCTTTTGTTACGCTCTTGAATGGTCCTGAGACGGCAGAGCTCATACAACATCATCTAGCCTACAGTTAAGTCTGCGAGTCCTCGATATTCCAAAACTAACTTAGACATACTGTTTCTAGAAAACTAGAAAAAGACACCAACTGATATTTTTATTTTTATTTTTTTAAGTTCTAAACTTTCTAGTTTGAATTTCTAACTTTTCACTTTCCCTAAACTCATGCTTTAGTATCTTCATGATTATTATACTCTATATTGCTATTGCCAAATCTATTGCAAGAGTGAGGGAAAAAAAGTTGTCTGTGCTCAATTTGCTGATATGTTTTCAACCTTTCCTCATCATGTAGATAAAAATGTAATCCAGGCGGCACTGCTTTTGATGTATGTTTCTGTGCATTAATTATCATATATAAGAGACAGGGTTGAACATATTATAACATTGTAAGATAATATGACATAAGATAACATGATGATATAATGGCATTGATAAAAAAAATGAATTGACATGAGTGAAGGTGTGCTGCATAGATTGTGTGTTGTAAAAACATATAAAAGGAAACAAAAGCCACAGGACAGAGGTGTGTGAGGGAGAGGAGATCTGCCAAAGGACTGGCTGCTGCTCTGGCTCATATGCATGGAGCACACCTGTGCTATGAAACAAGTCCAGGTGTGCCCCATACCGCCGATTAACCTCTGTTTTCTGTCTCAAGGGCTGCAGAATCTGTCAGAGCAGCAGCAGAGTGAAGCAAGCACAGGGGCAGGGCATGTAAGACTACAGGATCATTATACAAAATGAGATAACCTGACGTACAAATACTTGAGATGACATGATGTGACATTATATTCCACAGCATGTTGTGGCAGCAGTTTCAGTGCAAATATCCACAGTGGACAGTGAGTCAGCACGTTTAGGGGTTAAAAGATTTTCCATTTGGAGCAAAATGCCTCTTAAACTGGTGCTAGTAAACTATGTTGGAACTGATGTGTTTTGTTCATTCTGGGAGGGAAGCCAGGCAGCTCAACTCAGCTGGTCAACAGAGGGCATAATCCTACCATGGAAGAGAGGATCCTTTCAAAATAAAAGACTGCAAACAGTTTTTTACATCTGTGAGCTTTTGACGCCTCACTTATAGTTTGCACTGAATGAGATTAGGATTCTGACTAAAATGGTTCAGACATTAGGACAAACGGCACCTCATCTTCTTTTGCAACAACAATTCAAGGTCCTTTGCTGTGTGTCACCCCCTTCTATCTCCCCCTTTCCTGACACTCTTTAGCTGTCACTTGTTTTGCTTGATTCAAAGTGGGATAATGGATAAAGATCAAATCTCTAGAGCTAACAATGGTGAACACGCTTGTTTTATTTTACTCTTCATGGGCACATAGCAGTGCGACAACTGGCTTGAATCTGCAAGGTCTTGGTTAGAGAGATGGGAGGCTCCCGTGTCTATATAGAAACATTCTAAACTTGTATGTATGTATTTTCTAACCTAAATATGATTCCTTCAAGATTTAATGGATGTGTAAGGTGGGTATGTCAGGTCCGAAAATACAAACACAGCTCATTACACAGTCCATAACAAATCATTCTGCTGCTGGCACCACTCCTCCTGACCCGGATTCACAATAGGTGATATTTCTGGCAGCTAATAACTGTATAACTAATAATGCAGTTTGTCCACAGCATAGAGCGAGGGAAGCCTATGCCTCTGGAGGTCTGGAGCTCGGCTTCCCAGAGTCTGATCCCCTCTGTCCCACTGGAGTCAGCCCACTCTCTGCCTACTCCGCTCCCTCCCCGCACCAGCTGAAGTTTGGATGAAATTTACTGCGTGCAGACACAGCTTTGTTCTATTTTGATGCAGTCATGGCATGTTCTCCGTTTCTCCATTAAGCAAGATCCCTTTTAATATGTCTTCTCCTTCTCGCCACGTTTTACTCTCAAACAGTTCAGACATAATAATGATCTTTATCCTGCTTCGTGAATTAACAACATCTATTAACAGAACGGTGAAAAACATGCGAATAACAATTAAGATGATACTCCTTTTATATTTAAATTAAATTCATCCATCCTCGCACTTTACTGAGGTTATACACAGAAAAAAAGTTCAACTTTACAAATGAATTCATGTTTTAGTATATTATATGCCATAGATACATGCTAACACTTAAACATGTTCCCAGTCTTCCGGTACAGTGTAAATACAGCACTTTAAAAACCTTAGACCTGCAAATGTGCTAATCAAGATTAGTCTCACGCATATAAACTAAATCGGGAATTATGCATCATCTTTCTAGAAATGCAAATGCTTGTTTGTTGTATTTAGCCCATGACTTGTTATAATGACTTCACCTGACCTGACCCAAAGTTATGGGAAAAAATTATAATTGCATTTCAAATCTGCATAGCACAAAATTTAATGACAGCTGAGAATAATTAAAATGTTTTGGGGAAACTGTTGGTGTGACCCAGTTTTAAAAGTCTGCTGGTTTCTCAAGGATTTTGTTTGTGCAAACAATCCACCACCTCTAAAAAATTAATTTTCAGGGGCTTTCACTTAACGTCTGTGCCTCACGGAGTGCATCGTCCTTTACTAATTTTAAAGGGAAGTGAGAAAGGACAATAACTTGCTCATAAATAAAGATCAAGGAGCTCTCACTCTTTTCACTACTAATGTAAGAGTCATAATTAGCAACAAAATATTCTTGTACTGTTAATGCTTTTACCAAATTTCAAGGAAAGCTTCCTGACCCTGAACATTTTCAAAAAAAGGGCAGAGACAAAAAGGCCTAAAAAACACATTATTACCAAGGTAATAATATTCTTAGGTTTGATATGAGGCTCTTGAGAGTCGACTAATTTTCAACAAATCAAAATAAAAATCTCAAAGAAATGTTACATGCAAATAAAATGCTTGATTTAAAAGGCTTGGGTATATTTGTTGTTTCAAGCATTCAGTTTTATATGAAGAAGGTTGGAGTGAAACAATAGTGTGCCTCTATGTTTCTCACATTTTTGGTCCTTTAGTCACCTGACTGCATGTGTTTCTTCAATAGGTGCATGTACCCTTCATATCACACTGGTCTCACTCTGGAATATAGTGAGTTTTGCTGGTGGAAAGAAATGACAGTATAGACATACTGTATATTAGAAACCATATATTCCAAACTGCCATAGGCAACTGTGAAAGGTTAAATAATTCCATTTCAGTTCAATATCCACAGACCGGAGGCTCATTGCCTCTCTGCTGTCCTGTAGTCCATGTATATCAGGGCCTGGATCAGGACATGAAAGGGTTCCATGTCAGTGTAGGTTCGCCACATATAAACACCAGCTCACACCTGCAGGCATGGCGGGCACTCACATTTTAAAACTGTCAGTGGATATGCCATGAAGGTAGAAATATAAACACAAACAAAAGCAGGGTGAGTCTTGAAGTTAAATAATATTTCTTAAGTAACTTTTTTTCACATGGGACATGAGCCCCAGTCTTCTGGGTAAAAGTGTGTTTGTTTGACGCATGAAACTTTTTCAGGCTCAAAAACACCTGTCTTAAATTGGCTGTGATATAGGCTTTGGGAAAAACAACTTTAACTTCAGTCTGACCCTTACAGTGTGGATGTTAAAGTGCTGTGTGGAGAAACTAATTGAATCCAGGGTGAATTGCTAAAATCATCCAACTTGGCCAGGAAAAATACAGTGAAAAAGCTACACTACACTACCAAACAGCAGACAGACAGTGAATAATGAACATAGAGGAGCATTTTAGCTTGGACTTACATTCACCAGCTTGACTGAAACACAACTCCAAATAAGTGATCGACCAAATGGGTTTTTCCAATGCTGATTATCTCAAAATGTTAGATAATCATCTATCACTGCTCCAAATGAATGAGAATGTTGCTCTATAACTTCTGTTTGCTCAACATATTAACTTAAAAAGGTGATAATAAATGTCATAAGTCGCCCCCAAGTGGTTAACAATCAGTTGTTGTAGGTTAGAATTCTTAATTTTTCATGATATCAAATCCCAATTTTAATACTTTATGGCAGGCAGTTCATTCAATGTATATGCACTCATATACATATACAGTACAATCGACATACTGCAAAGGACAACTGTCTTATATGGGTAGTGTGTTATTCTTAACCAAGTATTCTTGCGACAGGAACTATTAAAACACACTTACTGACTACCACTACTGAGAATTTAGAATATGATTTTGATGTACCTAATTGTGATCCATTCGCTCCCAGCCAATCCCCTCAGTCAAGCCAGCAGCATGCCTTGAAATCATTCGGATAACATGCAATCAACATGCAAAAGAGAAAAAGACTCCACATCTGCACTCTAGACAATGATGTTCTATCAGAATTGTGTGTCTGCCTTCCACCTGTCTTTATGCTCCATACGCTTCACAGAGCCAAGCAGGGAGGGCTGCTGGGAAACTGCAATCACAATCATCTCCTTTCAGAGCGGGTCTCAGATTAGCTCTCCAGCTGTTTCACCGGTTACACCTCTTTCATAGGGCACTGACACCAAAAGATCCAGGCAATATTACAACAAACA